AATGTTGTCAAATCAAACACAGTGCAGATGAGGAAGGAGGATGGATTTACAATTTTCCAACTACATGCCAATTAAAACTTGATTTTTTTTTGTAGTCTGAAGGCTTTCATGTTGATAGATCACAAGTTGTGTGTCAAAAAATAATATGAATTTGTCTGAAGTCTCAAAATAAATCTCTTCAAACTGTGCATACTGGAAGCTGTTCTCTTTTCATCTCCAAATTATTTCACACACATTGCATCGTGAAGTCTTCAGAACATTTAATCCTAATGAAGTCGAATAATTTCAGACATTTTAAGATACTCCAGCATTTTAGGATTTGTCTCAGAGACTGTGTTACTCAGGGAAGCACGGCAGTCCTGAATGCTTCACCTCTCTTCCCCCACATGAGGTTCTATGAGTATTAAGATGTGGAACTAAATTCATTCCCAGCCCTCATTACGGGGGCAATGAGGTAAGTAAGTAGATCATGGGAAATGACTGGCAAATTTTGTATCCTATTTCTTATTCAGCCACAGCTTTCCTATGCAACTACAGGCTGTCTTATCCCGTCTGTGCCTCATATTCCCCTTCTGTGCATGTAGATAACAGGTTTTTTTCTCTCTTCATGGTAATGTGAATCTGAGTTCATTAATCTTTAGAAGTCACCTTGTCCTGTAAGAGGAACACTTGCTGTGTATAGCTCACTCAGTAAACTCAGGAAGGGCTCACATTATTCTTTTTTCCTCTTCCCTGCACTTTTGAAGCCACTGCTATTTCAGTGGTGGCTAAGATTTCCAAGTGGCCAGGACAGCAGAAAAGCCCTCTCTCCTGCTAGTGGCTGTGAGCACCTGTGCCAACATCAAAGCTTTTCTTTAAGCAATGCTATTTGAGAACTATGGACTACAAGGAAGAGAAGGGGAGGCTTACCTTCTCAATTAACTCCCAAAAGATTAGGTAACCACTACCTAATATTTACATTATAATATAATGTAATGTAATGTAATGTAATGTAATGTAATGTCATATCATATCATATCATATCATATCATATCATATCATATCATAATGAATCTCTTCTCCACTTCATCTATTTGTTACAAAATGTGCCCCACTGATGTGTATGAAAATTATTTACAGTTAAAAAAGAAAAGTGGTTTATCTTATGAACAGGCAAGTCAAATGAAGAAACAGCAGATTTGAATGTCTGATTAGTGAAGAAATATTAAAATATTTTTGTTGACAAGAAATCCAAGTTTCAAGGTGTTCCTGTAGTGTGTACCTGTAAGTGGTGTACCTGTAAGTGGTGCACCAGCTCAAATGGGAAAGAGCCAAGTGAAGTTATGGTATTTCACTCTTCTCTTGCATTCAGATCTAAGCTTTAATCTGCAGCCTCTGATTTTAATTATATTAAAAAAAAACTTTGAAGAAAAACTTTGGGGTTTTTTAGCTTGAAATGCTATTTCTCTTAAAAAATTGCTTTAAATGTGAAATGCACTTCTTAAGAAAGAAAACACAGGATTACTTTGTGCATGACCTATTACTAGCCTGAGGACCTGAAGAACTCCAGGTTGAACTAATTGGTTTTTTGCCAGTAGAGGCTTTTGGGAGTAAAACTTCCCTAATAATCACGTTTCAACTTGTACAGCACTATGTAGCCCACCTTAGTACTGACAACCCTAAATCAGTAAGTATCTGAACACTCAGAAGGCAGTGCAGAAAGACAGTAAAATGACACAGGCCAAGTGTACCCTTCTTCTGATCTTTACACTAGATTATGGTTCTCTTTTCGAAACCACAGCTTCGCCAAGCTGTTCCTACCAGTACCTCCATCATTTATATTCATTCAACATAACTACACTTTGTGCAATTGATACAACTTGATTTCATACAGATAATTTCCAACATCTACTGCTAGCACCTGCACAGAAATTGCCGTGACACATCTAAGGCACCTAAGATGTTAAAATAATGTGTTTCTTTTTCAAAGACTTGCCAGTGCACAAAATGTTCTGGGAGAGCGTAAGGCACTACAGGGCCATTTAAATTATATGTTAATTATCCTGGAAGTGACTCAGCTAATTTTAAATACATATATAATAACCAAAGTATTTACATGAGTAAAGATTTAATTTTGAAGATTTACCAGGAAACTTAATCATAACCAACTCAAATTTACACTGACGTACAAAGTGGAGAATGAGACATAGGAAAATCTACAGGGAATACAGATTTTTAATTAACAAATATTAGGTACTACTGTCCAAATTAACTGCAGCTGAGAGAATGCTTCTCAAGCAGTTAAGAAATATTGTATGTGACAAGCAATTTGTGCAATTACTTCTAAATAATCCCACATTGCAACAAGGCAGTGTGTATGTTTCTCAGAAGAAGATGAATAAATATTAAATTTCAGAAGTCATGTCATTCTGCAAAATTAGGTAGCTTATGTCCTAGATCTTGAAAAAATTGACATGAAGTTATTTTGCTACTGCTTTCCTATAATAGCATGACACTTCCTGCAACCACCACAGCCATGCCATGCTGTTTTCTGCTTGTATTCCAAAATGGAATCATCTCTCTCTGAATCCTCTGAATGATATTTGCCTGTGGGCTGGATAGTTTCCTGCAACACAAACAGGTAGAAGGGGAATATACTGTACTTTATGGATTGCAACAAGAGTATTAAATGTGGATTTAAATGGAAGCAGACACTGCCTAGCAGGGTTCAGATGGGCAAAAGAGTACCTTTTCATTTATATGGACAGTGAAATAACAGATTTACTTCTTTCCTTAGGTACTTTGATGGTCTGGGTGTGTATGCCCAAGATCCCCTTTAAAACCTGAGTTAGACTCAAGGCTACATGTAAATGATCAACATCCACAATGGGCACCAGTTTTCAAGAATCCTGTGAAGCACCTAAATAACTTTTCGAGGTGCCTGCAACACCTTTAGCAGTTAAAGCTAGAATCACATTTTCTATATAACATTTTCACACAGTTGTTTTGTGAATTTTTTTTTTTTCTTATGAAGAAATCTATAACAAACAAAACTTTTCCTGTTTTAATACTTGGAGAAAAGCTGTTCAAATGCTCATTTATTTCTATCTCATTGTTCCTTTTGCTATATGAAGCCTCACAATTTTTTTTTTTCTCCTCAGATTCTCCCTTGTGTATTTAAACATGAGTAGACAAACTGCACAGTACATCTCTGACAGAGAAGCTGACAGAGAAGCTGAGCCTAAAAAGCAAAGAGAGCACATCTTTTACAATGTGGTGATGCACAGGTGGGAGAAAGGCCTGTGGCCTTATTTAATTCCTTGAAAGCAGCATTACAGGCCTCCTCTCAGCCTGGGAACCTATTTACCAGGCACAGGCAGCCAACAGCTAATACCAACCGGCTGCATCACAGACTCTTTTCGCTCCATGCCCACATGCCAGATATTGTTAGACAGATGCATCTGGAAAGTGGAACAGCAGCCAATTCTGCAAGTCTCACATGGACCACGGGAGGCAGTGGCTGTCCACAGCTGTCTCTGTTGGTCCCTACACACGCAAGGCACTTTTGTGGCAAGGTCCCTCATTTAAATTTCTAATTCTGGAGAATTGTTGCAGTACATAATTCAGGGCTTGACCTTACAACCCAAAGTCCCACAGAATTATGCTGGACCTTGTACATGGATAAAATCTTACGAGCTGGGAATGTCTATCCAACATACAAAACCTAAGTGCAGTATTGCAACAGCAACTGGAATACTACACACTGGAAGGAAAGGTTCAAAGATGTACATGAAATAGCTTGATTTATGCACTTTATAATTCAGCTAGTTTTGTTCTCTACTGTCATGGCCTGGGCAGTGGTCTGGGTGCCGCGACTTTCCCAGAGGAGCGTCCTTGGAAGGACACTCATGGGCACAGAGGCACTTCCTACCCTGCCAAGAGTGGTCTCAGCTCTGAGCCCTGAAAAGGATCAGTTCTGAGCCCTGAAAAGTGGAAAAGATTGCAGCTCTTCATGCGATGTCTGGGCAACACGGAAGGAGGGACGGGAGCCTCGTGTGGTGTTCCGCAAGAAGCTTTTATTCTTCTTGGTCCAGGGATGAAGAGAACTCTGGCTACTGCAGAGGGGTCAGGGATGAAAGACTCCAGATAGTCAGAGGGAAACAGGGGTTTATATGGGAAAAGCAAGGGGTAGGACAGAACATCAGAAACCAATCAACAGGGTTGGGGGGTGGAGCAAAAGGGGAAGGATCAGTGGGGTACATAAAATTTGAATGACGATGACTACTCTTTGTCACCTTGATGGAGGAGCTTGTCCAGGGCCATTCCCTCCAAGGGAGAGTTGTGGTTTCTTTGTTAATCAGCCCACTGGCCTCCACTCTATACCATCCCTCAGCCATGGGACACCATGGCATCCAAAGAGAAATGCATTATTCTTTTCTAGTTAGGCTCTGATCTCATAATACATATCACACACATTTCCCTGGCATACTGATGGGAAAGATATGTGCATTTCATTCATTACAGGTCAGCTCTTTAGCATTATGTCCCCTCTTACTAACATGTGCAGAATGCAGAAACTATCCTAACAATAGCATTAATAGAACCTGCCAAGGTGCCTCGCATCTTCCCCGACTCTTTACATTTGCCTGTTAAATATTTCTTTAATTTTAGGGATATGCATTTTGCAGAAGTACTAATATTTAACAGAATTCATCTTAAGGGAGCATGGTGATGAAACCTGGAGAGGTTACTGAGAGACAGTTTCTCTGAAATGGTGCTGCAGCTGCTACTTCCAGATAAAGGGCAAGTTTGCCTGTAGGTTTCTGCCAGGAGTAGTTAACACGAATTCTGGCAAAGGCCCCAGTTTGTCTTCAAAGAGAAAGACTGAAGGGAGTTGGCACTGCTTAAAAAATGTTGCTACAAAGACTACCTTTTCAAAAATATTTCATCAATTTTTTATTATATTTAATATATATACATACATGTGCCAAGGTTTTAAGTTTATGCCATCAGCCTACCAGACAGACTCTAACTAGGCAGAATGATGTGGCAGTGTGAGTCATCTATTTTCAGCCTTTCTGTTGTTTGGCTGCTTGAAACAAACATTTGTGGGCAGGACAGAGAGATGAAGAATACTCCAGACATGAAAGGAAGATATCATTACATGAATGATGTTATTAATTAGTAAATTTATCATAAAAATTTCTTACAGATTTTGTAAGTGATTATTCAAACATACATCTTCATGGAAAGTTAGCATGGACTATTTACTTGGTATCTTGGGGTTTATCAAGACAGAATCCTCTAACTTGTCCCATTTATTTTTATTAAAAAAACCCAGAGAATCTTATCTTGGGAGGTGTTGTTCTCAGAAGGTTTAGCATCTACTTCTGTATTTAGACATCCTATACCTAGACAGATTGTATTCTCTGTCTGTACCTGCCTGTAATCTAATTTTCCTACAATGTAATTTTCATGATCCTCTTCCTTGGAAGTATACAGCAGAAACAGCAACGGCATGGGTACGACGTGTTTGGTTTGTTTCTTAAAAGTATATGTATGACTCCTGCTTGGTAGCCATCCCCCAAAACACTTCACAGGTTTTAAAAATTCCTCCCATATTTTCTATCACTTTTAAATTATTTTAATTACCTCTAAATTATTGTTCCAGTGCCCAAACACCCTCTGGGTGAAAAACCTTTTTCTTATGTCTATTGCAAATTTCTCCCGCCACAACTTCAGGCCGTTCTCTCAGGTCCTGCCACTGGTCACCTGGGAAGAGAGATCAGTGCCTGCCCCTTCTCTACCCCATGAGAGGATATTGAAGGCCCCACTGAGGTCTCCCCCCAGGCTCCTCCAGAACAGAGCAAGTAATCTCAGCTGCTCTTCCTATGCCATCCCCTCTAGACCATTATCTTCATGACCTCCTTTGGACGCTGTCTAAGAGCTTTATAAACTTTGCACTTTGCAACCCCCAGAACTGCCCCCAGGACTCGAGGTGAGGCTGCCCCAGCCCAGAGCAGAGCAGGACAATCCCCTCCCTTGCCCAGCTGGTGATGCTGGGCCTGATGCCCCCAGGACAGGGTTGTCCCTCCTGGCTACCAGGGCACTACTGACTCATTTTCAATTTGCCATCAGCCAGGATCCCCAGGTCCCTTTCCACAGGGCTGCTCTCCAGCCTCTCATTCTCCAGTCTGTCTGTACACCCAGGGTTGCCCTATCGCAGGTGCAGAATCCAGTACTTGTCCTTGTTAAACTCCACCAAGCTGGTGATTGCCTGTCTCCAATTTGTTGAGATCTCTCTGCAGGGCCTTACCATATTTAAGGGAGTCAACAGTTCCTCCCCATTTTGTGTCATCTGCAAACTTTGTGTGCCTTCAAATCCTTTGTCCAAGTAATTTATGAAGATGTTGAAGAACACAGGGCTTAAGATGGAGCCCTGTGGAACCCCAGTTGTTACCATTCTTCTGATCTTGCAAGACTCAAACCCCAGTTTTAGAATCACTGTTCTACTTTGGAAATGACTATCATAATAGTAAGAGGTTACCATATAACCAGAAACTTATTTCTCCAGTCTGTTAGCAGCCAGCAGAATTGTAGTTATTACATCCACTTACCAGTTATATTGAAGTCAGGAGTATTGTGCAGTCTTTAATCAAGGAAATGAAAAGAGGTTCTTACAGTCATGTAAATTATTTGGAATGGTGAAAAAAGCACACATGCATAATACAGACATGATCTCCATAAATACATAAGACTAGCCCAAAATTTCTGTTTAATATAACTTCTGTTTTGATTTGTGTGGGTTTGTTCGTTTATTTACACATGATTTTTCACATAACGGTCCTGTAAAGAAGAAATTTGCTCTAATGCAATGGTAATTATTCTGTGAATTACTGAAAGAAATTTAGAGAGAATGATTAGTAAGTTATCTCCTTCTTTTCCTCCTAAGTTTTCAGCCTTTTTGTAGCTGCATAAAATTTTAACTTATATATGGTGGTTCATAGCTAACCTTGAGAGATCTGGATACGAAATTTCTTTTAGTACTGTAAATTCAATATATGCTCAAACACAAAAACTGTGAAATGGAAGCATTACAGTGCTGATATTTTTATCTTCATCATTTCATGGAAGGGCAAATATTAATTGGCAATTTATTAAAAAGGAAAAAAAAAAGAAGTTAGGGATTTCCTAGGTAAGGATTTCTGGAGGCTTGAATGCAAGTGTTGTAATGCCTGAAAATTGATTATTACTACACACTCACTGAAGTATTTTTATGCTGAGAGAGAAGGAAAAATTATGGCAGGTCAGAAGACTGTGAAACATATGCCCTCTCTTTTCCTACCCTCTCTTTAATTATTGACAGCCTGTCACTTAGGTGCCATGGTATGATGAATAATAAAACAGGATCCAAGCTGCATTTCTCTTCAGGATTTATTCTTCCAAATCAAATACTGCCATCTTCAGGCAGACCATACTTCACTTTTACAAGTTTGAGGGTTTATTAGTTACTGAGGGGGGTCATCACCTCAAACAAACAAAACAATTTGTTATTTTGAAGATCTTTCAAATTGATACCTTATATGAGACAATGAAGGGGATCTCCAAATTTTGGCTTCTACCTTTGGGAGTAAGGTTACCACTATCTAAACACCTAGATGTTATATTGGGCAAAACATTAATGAAGCCATTCAACTATTTCCCTTGTTGTAATGAGAGGGCAGTTAAGATTATAGCCATACAGGAGACCCTGACTGCAAAGCACTTCCAAGTATGCATACTGTGCATTGAAACCACACAGGCAGGTCATTCTGGAAGCAGAGTTGCAAATTATTGCAATTCAGTGAATTGAAATTATGTGTCATATTTATGCTTTTCTCCTTACAGCAAAGTAAAACTTTAAGGTGACATTTGAGCATCAAATGATTGTATCTCTAGAACAAATAAGAAAAGGCAAACTGAAAGCTGCAAACTGGTAATTCACGGTATATACTACCCAAATATTCATCAGAGTGGTGATGTTAACTTTCCTTTTCGTCTTTAAGTGCCCTGAAATTGAGATTCAGTCATGAGACTCACAGCCTCCATTCAACTATGAGAATCACATGGAGAATTAGACAATACAAGGGTTGCAATGAAGTCTATGACTTGCAAGGTATCAATAAGTAGCCAAGCCTTTCATTTAAGCAGTGCTGATTTTGGCTGAAGTACAGTTAACTTTCTTCACAGTGGCTGGTATAGTTTTGGATTTGTGCTGAATACAGAGT